TCATTCGCCGACCCTCTGCGGGGTCTCAGCCCCCCCCCCCCCCCCCCGATTCTTGTTTTTCTGCTCCTCTTGCATGTTTGGGGTTTTTTATTTAGCTTTTTCCTTTTTTTCTTGGAAGCGCTGAAGAGCAGCCCTAGCATCCTGGCACCTGGAACGACGCGGTTCTGGCTCTCCTTGCCACCTCAGGCAGCCTCCTGCGGCAGCGGTCTCCAAAGTGGGGCACAAGGCAGTCCACTGGGGCGCGGAAAGAAAAATTTTTTTTTTTTTTGGTACCATTAATAAAATTTTAAAATATTTTAAAACGGTGTTTATTCTATCTTTATCTCACTATTTTTATTTTATATTTTTGCATGTGCTTTACAGTGCACATAGTATATAAGCAGAGTAGTACAGGTATATAATTCATAAGTAAATATATGTGTACAGGGAGTGCGTGCTCAAAAATTATTTTTACCGAGGGGCACGTGATCAAAACGGTGAGACCCCACGGCACGGGACATGCACCATCCCAGAGATTAATGCAGGCGCTCTGGCAATCCCCCCAAAAAGAAGCAAGTGCACAGCAACCCCCAGAAAGCCCAAGCAGACGGTGAGGACAAGGGTGACGCGCACTAGGTGAGGTGAGGTGCGGCCCAGCCCACGCGGAGCCGTGGCTTAGGAGCATTTAGGGGACGTCACCGCGCAGGGAGCAGTCCCTGGTGATCCAACGTGCTATTCCGGCCTCGCCACTGTGCATCACCTAATGTGTTTACCTAATCCAGAGGGAGGTTTCTTGGAGCCTGATGATACAAGGGGGGCTGATGGCTCCCCGTGAATCTTCCGATTAGGTGGTCGTCCACCAAGTCCCGTGCCTGTGGTCCTGGGAAAGACTGTCTCAAAGAACGAAGGAATTAATCTTACTAGCAAAAAGACACGCTACGCCAAGAAACGGAGATGTTAAGGACTTCTCAGCACAGCAACATGCCGCAAAGAGTTAAAGGAGATAACCCTTTCGCCTGGATCATCTGAGGCAGCTCCTCACCTTGCTCAGCATCCTCTGCGGAGTCAGGCGGGGATAGCAGACCCTACCCGCGGCAGCACAACTGAAGCACGCTGCAGCCATAAGGAAAAGCAGGCACCACGTGTTCTCAAGGGGGGCTGACGTGCTGCCGGGGAAGCACCTGCACCATGCACCGGCTCCCTCCCCGCTGCTGCGGGAGCGCCCAGACAACGGCAGCACGGAGCAACCTCCCGCTCCGCTTTTGCCTGCACGCCACGCACACAGCTGGGATCCCACCGTGCTTTCCACGGAGGAGCGAGGCGAGACAGCAGTGGCCTAAAATATACCTAAATCATCAGGGCAAGTCTTGTGTGTTGTGCCGGTAAACAAGCTGGCACCCACAACTCTCTACAACTTGACACAGATGTACAAAAAACGGGAGGGGCAAAGTGGGAGAGGGAAGGAAGGGGGGCTCCTGTGGAGGCGCTGGCATGGCACAGCCCGAGCGGGTCACGACAGTGACGGTGAGCACATCCACCCTCTCCGCCTCACGGCACGCGAAGACACTCTTCAGTGAGAGACATCCCCCGTCCCCTTAGACCCCTGCGAGGGAGGGAGCGCGCTGCTGCTGCGGCACAGCAAGCCCTGTTCAGACAGGCACCCCTCCTCCTGCCTCGCTTCTCCCCTCGCTCCTGCCTTCAGGAAGTCCCGCTTCCCCCAGCCCCACGCGCCTGTGCTTCAGTCCCTTCTCCTCCCTCTTCTCCACCCTACTCTGCCTCCTCCTCTTCATCCCCTGCCTCCCTCCATGCACGTAGGACACGTGTACCTCATCTGCAAACACCTCTATCGATCTCATTCCAGATAAAAGAGTGGTGATTTGGTGACGGGAGCTGGATTTATGGGCTGTCCGCAGCCCAAAGGCTCGTTCTCTTCCTGACTCCTAAATATAGCTGCTGCCGAGCACGTGTTTAATGGAGCCGTCACGGAGGCACCAGGGACTGAGGCTGATGGATGGAGAGGAGCGAATCACTTGGAGAGAGGTGTGGAGAGGGAGGCTCTATATTTAGAGAAGAAGGAGCAAGAGGACAGCAGGGCAGCCCGGTGGGACGGGCTGCGCCCACGGGGTGGCAGGGGCTCATCCAGGCGCGCGCAGCAGCACAGGCAGCCCGCAAAGGACAGGCGCAAGCAGGGAAACAAGAACAGGGAATACAGAATGCCGGAAAACTGCGGCCTGGAAACCAGCATGTACTCAAGCTGCTATACACACTGTCCGTAAAGTGCTTTTGTAAAGTTTTTAAAATGCAATTCTTTCTAGGTAAGTCTGCCTAATACATTAGATAAAAATACAGGAATGCTAACATCCCATGGCTGACCAAGAGCAGCCTGGACATGCCAGAGAAAAGGTTCTGGGAAAGCAGCAGCTCTCAGGCAAACTGACGGGACAGAGAGCCCTGCTGGGCCAGGGCGGGCTGACACGAAGCTTGGGTGCCATTCCCATCCATCCTCCAGCACCTGAATTGTCCCCATCCTCTCTTCTCTCAGGCACCCACACTGAGTTGCAAGCAGAAAAAATAACTCTTTTGGAATGTGAAAACATACCTTTTTGTTTCTACAGAATGTTGGAATTACATTTCTGAA